GGTTGAAGATTAGACGAAAATTTGTACATTTACATTTATATTATATTCTATTATCAAAAATTTGTAATTTGTATTTTCTAGTACCCCTGACGATGAGTTTAAGTTACTCGAAAGCTTGAGAATAGTTATAAAGAGTTCACTTATCAATTGCTGCAACCCAATAGTGAAAAAAAGTTATATATATTGTGTTTTTTATTAATATTGTTAATTTATTTGGTACCTACTATAATTACCACGATTATTACTCCGTTTTCATAAGGCCCACCTAATGACTACAACGATTACGTAAATTACGATATTGCAAAGGTTCCAATCCGACCGTTATAGATCAAGCAATAATTTATAGTTACGGACAGCGCCATCTGCCCGCGAATAGATCAAGAAATATAATTTAGGTTACGAACAGCGCCATCTGCCCGCGAATAGATCAAGCAATAATGACGATAATTCTGCTACATCCAAAGAATCCATTGAAATCGAGGACAAATTATCGATAAGACATGCACACAAGAATTTGCTGATGCTAGAACTGTAAAACAGACTCACCATCATCATCTTCACTATCATCAGAGTAAATATCAGACGCCTTCAGTTTCAATTCGTTCTTCTTGGAGAGAATCTGCTCCTCCTCATCTTTTTTCTTCTGTTCCTCTTTTTTCTTTCGTTCTTCTTCTGCTTCCTCCCTTTTGATTTTCCCTTCACGTCTGGCTTTCAGTTCCGCCATAGCGTTGACACGTTTATCCACCCTACCGCGGTTTTCTTCTATGTTTTTCTTACGTTCCTTGCTTCTTTCTTTGTGGTCGATGGAGCTGAAGTCATTTTGGAGTTTATTCGCGACCTCTTTGTCCTTGTCTTTGTCCTTTTCTTTTGGCTTTGATGGCTTGTCTTTGGCACGTTCTGCTTTCTTTGCTTGCCTGAGCTTCTTTTCGATCTCAAACCTGAAATTTTGAATATTTTCCCAACTACTTTTCCCCAATTTCTTCGTCTAATGTACTTTGGGTGGAACTTTTTCTTTAATTAATAAATAGAAGTGTAGTTAAATTTGCTAATGAAAAGTTTATTATAAATCATCATAACCTCGACAGTCGAGTTTTTGGTTGTGAACATTTGTAGATGTAGATGTAGCCACATCTGGTGTACCACAAGGATCAAACCTAGGACCCCTACTGTTCAATATGTTCATTAATGATATCGGAGTTGAGATTGATGGCAATTTCCTTTTATACGCAGATGACTTGAAACTCTATCACAATATAACATTTTCTAATGATTGCGAACGTCTCGCCCTGAATTTGAATCGTGTTGCTACATGGTGTCGGAAGAATAATCTATCTCTCAACATATCCAAATGTAATGTCTTACTCACTGAAAACGAATTTGACATTACACAACTACGTCATAAACAATCAAGTTCTGGAGCGTCCTGACACACTCACTAATCTAGGTGTTACTTTTGATTCATTCCTCTCTTTTAATAAACATATTGACACTACTCTGACAGCTGCTTATCGCATGTATGGATTCTTAGTTAGGAATACAAAGGGCTTTGAAAAAGCTTCAACATTGAAATTACTTTATTTCACTTTTGTTCAATAAAGGCTGGAATATGCATCTGTTGTGTGGAGTCCCTACTATCAGGTTCATATAAATGTTAAGATACACCCCCTTAAAGGGGGTATATAAAAATTTATTTCCGATAGCCTGTTTCATTTTTAACAAAAAATGTCTCTTGGGTTTTTTGCCAAAATAAACCAGTTCGCAGTAAAAAATTATTTTACCACCAACTACAGAGATACATCGCTGAAACGATTAGAAGAAATTGTGACTTTCTGAAAACGATAGAATTCACAGACGAATGTAGTTTTTCTCGGTTGTAACTTTTTCAGTGCTTGTGAAAAAAATTGTTATACAAATTTTATGTACCCCCTTTAAGGGGCTGTATCTTAACAAGAGATGCTCCAATGAAGCTTCTTTATATGAAAGATCCTATCTTTTTTTCGATGAGGAACCATCTTCTCAAATGTTTTACACTTATTCAGTTACACCCTGTAGATTTACAATTTATATTATGTAAGTACATATTTGCAAATGCCACTGTTACTCCCTATTCTGTAATTGAGTTTATCCTGTATTAAATAACTAAATAAATAAATAAATAAAAGCTCAACTGGGATTAATTTCTGAGATCTTACAAGATAAATTTCTCAGTGATGATAATGATAGTTTCATTAGTCTTTAGAAACACAGTTTTTAGACACGTCAATACAATTTCTAAAATAAGTTTGAGAGGATAAGATTCGTCAGTTTCTAAAAAATGCTTGTAGATACATTAGATTTACGAAAGGATACAAGTTGATAAGAGAACATTCCAATCCTATAAAAATTGACTAAAATGTAAGCCATGAGTATTTTACAAATTATAAATAATATCCCCAACAAATGATAAAGTCTCATTATACCAAAATAACTGCAACAATTCCCCCATTTTGGCTTTCACAGCCATAGTTTGAAACTGATGATGGTTTTGAGCTTTTAGTCTGTCATCTATTGGAAGTTTTTTCTATCATTTGCCAGCATGGGAGGAGATACTCTGTACAGTATACCTACAAACTTGAAAGCAATAACATATCCCTCTGAAAACTGTCACAATTTCCCCGTAGTTTTACTGCCAACTTTTGAAATAATTTGCAGTTTCGAGGCTTTTAGACTGTCGTCTATTGGAAGAAACAACTCATTCCTCTGAAGATGTCAGCAACTTGTGCCGGCGAAACCCAACAGAGGACAGCCTAAAAACCCAAAAACACAAACAGTTTCAATTTCCCCATAGTTTTCTGACAAAACTCACCTAGTCTTCATGAGCTCCCTTTGCTCAATACGCTTGAAAATCTCCGTCTCCCTTTCTTTCTCCGTTAAGGAGGCCAGCCTGGCTCTGTCTTCCTCGTCACCCATCAACTGGTCGTCGTAACCGTCGTTGAACTCTTCTTCCGAACTGGAGGAATCGGAGACCTCTCCCTCTTCGGGTTCTGATGCCTTTCCGTCATCCTCCTTGCCGCTTTCTTCTTTTTCTGATTCAGAAGAGACAGAATCCCTTTTCACTTTCTTCTTGCTGTTTTTTGATGAATCATCGCTGTCGGAACCCGATTCTGAAGAATATTTTGCCTTTGGGGAAGGTTTCTTTTTATTTTTGTTCTTGGCGAGGTTCAAGAACTCCTGAAAGGCGACAGGTATAATGAAATAAAATACTTCAGTGGGGCCATAAACCGCAGTTTCAATTCGTACAAATATGTAGTTCAATTTTTTTTAAATATGTGTATTCATAAAGCAATTGGATTAGAAAAAAAATGGGAGGGTCAGTACTTCAATATTAGAACAGAAGAGACATCTTCATCTGACAAGAACTCTTCGATACAATAGTCAGCTTCTTGGATAAGAAATTGTCTAGAGATGCATCCGACAGATAGAGGGATTGCATAGGAGAATACTGAACCAAAATTGTCACAACTTCTGATTTTTTCAACCAGCTAAATTGCATCTATACATTTTCAAGAGCAGTTACAATTCCTAGATCACGAAAACTCACTCTCTGCAATTTCTATACAATCATGTATTGTCTCCAAGTAAAATGAAGATTATTATTATAGTATGTACTGTATAACTTGTATTTGAATACTAAAAATTCTTTGAGTATGTGCAGAATGACCTGTTTCAATCTATAATGTTTCAATCTATATCTTACTCATCATAACTTTCGCGATAAGAAACCCACATTTACTTGAATCAAAAACTATTTCAAGGAATTTTATGTTGAAGAAAAACATATAATACAGATGGATAGATATTTATTCTCAGTTGACTCGTAAAAGTGCTCACAGTCTTTAATTAAAAAAAATGAATACATTTCCAAAATACATGTTACATAAATTCATCAAATGATATGCTATAAGCGAAAAATTTTACTAATAAAAATTGACAGGCATAAAACTTGTGGACCACGGCCAACAAACTCAGAAAATAGCTTTGATGTAGTTATCTCGGACCGTGAAAGTTTATACTCTTTATCAAAATCTTTACTTATTTATTTATTTACGGCAATGCCTAGTTTTAACAAGATAATCAACAAGTTTATGTGCTTTCCTAGCCTGCTCTGAACCATTATTTTTTTAAACTACTGGGAACACGGAGAGCTTCGTACAGATGTAGGTTAAATCATATCTGTCCATTGTTCATTTTGTAGTAACTGCTTAAAAGCTACAATGTTTGATCGGGAAATATTTCTATGGTTTATTATTACAGCAGTTGTGAATTTATTAATGCCAAAAACCATTCTGGCACTTTGTGAAAACTTTGTTCTGATCAAACTGAATATTTAATTTCCAGTTTCAGTATTTTTTCAAAGATCTTTGACAAGATTGGTAGTATTGATATCGGTCTGTTATTTATCAGGCGTGTATAGACATGCCTGAAGAAGCTATTGCATAGCGAAACACATGTTACGTTCTACCAACTTCTAGAGATCTATGGTTTGATGAAAAATGTACCTACAATGGTATCTTCTCATATTATTTATGGGTCTCTGACTTCATCCTGAGTAATTTCAGTTTAGTGACGTTATTAACTGCGAATTGATTTATATAAGTGAATACATAATTGCGACTCTAAGGTAAGTTGAATATGGTAGATTTCGATACATTTATCATTGAAAGAAGTTGCTGTTATTTGTTAGCTGGTCACTTTTTCTTTATATTCAGGTCTTTTCCAGTTCCTATTATCAAGATCCATTAACTTCTAAAATGTGATTGACAAAGGAATTTCACATGGCATACAAAGAATGCACATTATTTTCAAATTTTCAACTGAATTTTAAAAATGTTTTGCTCCAAAATTAAGGCGTTGAAGGTTAGGTAGAGTTTCTTCTTACCGAATCCAGGTCGCTTTCAGAATCATTGCTGGAGTCACTCTCTATTAAAGCAGTATTTTTTCGTTTGACCATGATGAACCAAGGTACACCAAGACAATTACTGTTAAATTTTGCTTTTCATCCAGCACTTTCGATGCCAAACACAACACACTAAATCAAAACACTGGGCAAGACAGATAACAGACAACTGGGAAAATTCATTCAAGACACTGACATATATCGTACAAGGTTGCCAATTTACTAAATAAATGACAGAACAGCCTTTTGTTCCTTAGTTGAAATGTCTGATGAACTATAATAGAAAATACGTATATTTCTCAGTTTTGAAATATTTTGTATACTCATATGAATTGTGAGTGAATCCCGAAGGAATCGTGACTCCAAGTCCCCTAGCGGTATCTGGAGTTACTTCCATCAATTCAAATTTTTCATAGACTGTTAGTTGTCAAACTTGAAATTTTCGGTGGTTTCCAATTGTGCATATTGCTATTATTTTTCAGGAGATGAATATTATGCCAAATCTAAGTGAAGCTGCAAAATTAGCGAAATAAATTATTCTTAATGATACGTCATTTAAATATTTGCGCTTACAACTTTAGTACTATATATTATTATAGTTTCCGTCCTAGATCAAAAATGTTAGTAAACCAGTGAAGGTGCTTATGAATACAAACTCCCAAACATTTTGTGTAGTTTTTTATTCCTATCTTATTTTTCAGTATCTTTACTGATGATGGGGTTTCAATTTTTTGTTGTGTTCGGAACAACAATATTAATTTTTTTTCTTTAACCAATTTTATGCACCATTTATTAACTCATTTGATTTGATTATTGATGCTGCAAAATGTTTGTCTGATATTAACAAATTAGACATGCCTGAAGAAGCTATTGCATAGCGAAATAGTATCAGGTTTCTGCGGAACTTCTGGTTTCTTGAGTTCGGCAGGAGCTTCCGCCAGGGCTGCATCACGGGCCTCTTTCTCACCTGCTTTGAAATTCATCCGAGGTTTGGTTGATCTTCTGGTGAATGGATCCTCAATCTAGAAATGGAAAAAATCAATAATGATGATGAACGGTGTCTGGTGATCCGCCAAGATGGGAATAATTTGTCAGTTAGGCTTCAATAATCCACGGAGAGTGAAATATAGCATTGATTGATTGTTCAACGGATATTTATTGAAACATCAGTAATGTCAAAAATTTTACAACGTTGGAAGAAAAATTGAAAGACTTTTCATATAAGGTGTCACTCAACTATTATTTTCATTTGAAAGTTTTTGACACGAGGGTTGTTAGAGGAAGGTGGTTGACAAGGAATTGATTTTAAGCTAGAAACGCGTCCTTTTCAAAACTAGAGTTGACTTCTTTGAAGTTTTTGTTCCCAGTCACAATATCGAATGACTTATTTCCTGCATATGTCTAAAAGAACTTCAGAGTGTATTATTGAATTATTCTCATTTGGTTCGCGTCTAAACTCGGAAAACTCACCTTCTTTCCTTTGTTCGCCCGAACCTCTGCCATAATTGCCTTCTCCGCCTCCTCAACATTCTTCCTCCTATTACGATTATTTATGTACGATATACTAGATATCGTCGACGTTCGTAACTTGTCTAACTCCGTAGCTCTCTCCTCGAGATTCGTTAACTTTCGCCCGAGCTCCCTGGCAGCCTCTTCATCCCCCCTGCTTAGCGCCAACTCCTTCTCCTTCATCAGCTGCGTCTTCTTCATGGCATAGTTGAAAGGGTTCGATTTGAACCGCTGCTTTTCCTGGATGATCCGTTCGACGTCCTGCTCATTGAATTCGTAGCTGATCGCCTCTTTGATGTCGGCCTGCTTCTGGTCGATCTTTGACTTGACGGGCAGGTCGCTATTCGCCGCGGTGCTCGCTTCGATCCACTTGTGGTATTCTTGGTCGGAGAATTCCTGGTTCGATACAAATTCTAGTCGGAATACTCGCTCTTGGGTGCCGTGTCTGACTTTCAAACCCTGGAAGATAAAATATTGATAACTAGAAAGAACTGCATGATCTAAACTGTAGAAATGACGATTATTGAAAAAATGTAACTTGAGACTGCTATCAGCTGGAAAAAACTTGTTACAATGGAACAACTACAGAATTCCTTGAAATGTACTGGTAATGACGGACGGTATTGAAAGAGTTACCTCACTCAATTTTTTTAGTTTTCTCATCTGAGTCAATCACTATTGTGCGAAGAAATAAAAACAAGCTGACTCACCTTATTCGTCTTCGTTTTCCCCAAATTATAAATCTTTGCCGTCTCGCACACCCCTATAACTTCAGCTACTCTGTAGACGGGGGCGTTATTATGCTCTCCTATGCCCACTTTGACGTAACAACCCTTGGCGATGCGGTCGAAGAACGGCATGTGCACGAACCGCTCGAGCTTGTGCCTCGATAGGCGGATGAGGTTCAGGTCCTGCCGGGTCGGCAAGTACGTGAGAGGTTTCGAAGCTGATGACTTGTCCTCATCTTTGTTGTCATTATTGTCTCTCGAGTCGGGCGAAGAGTGTAAAATAGACCCACCACCATCATCTTCACTATCATCAGAGTAGATATCAGACGCCTTCAGTTTCAATTCGGTTTTCTTGGAGAGAATCTGCTCCGCCTCATCTTTTTTCTTTTGTTCTTCTTCTGCTTCCTCCCTTTTAATTTTCTCCTCACGCCTGGCTTTCAGTTCCGCCATAGCGTTGACACGTTTATCCACTCTACCGCGGTTTTCTTCTATGTTTTTCTTACGTTCCTTGCTTCTTCCTTTGTGGTCGATAGCGCTCAAGCCATTTTGGCAATTATTTTCGACATCTTTGTCATTGTCCTTTCCTTTTACTTTGGATGACTCTTTGGTACGTCCTGCTTTATTTGCTGGTCTGAGCTTCCTCTTGATCTCAAACCTGAAATTTTGATTGCAATACAATCCCAAACTTTTCCGCGATTTTTTCGTCGAATGTACTTTGCGGGAAACTTTTTCTTAATATATTAAATAGAAGTTTAGTTAGATTGGCTACTGGGAAGTTTATTATGAATCATCAGATTGGCAGTCAACTTATTGATTGTGAATTTTGTTGGTAAAAATAACAACTGTCACAATTTCCCCGTAGTTTTACTGCCAACTTTTGAAATAATTTGCAGTTTCGAAGCTTTTAGACTGTCGTCTATTGGAAGAAACAACTCATTCCTCTGAAGATGTCAGCAACTTGTGCCGGCAAAACCCAACAGACGACAGCCTGAAAACCCAAAACCACGAACAGTTTCAATTTCCCCTATAGTTTCCTGACAAAACTCACCTAGTCTTCATAAGCTCCCTTTGCTCAATACGCTTGAAAATCTCCGTTTCCCTTTCTTTCTCCGTTAACGAGGCCAGCCTGGCTCTGTCTTCCTCGTCACCCATTAACTGGTCGTCGTAACCGTCGTTGAACTCTTCTTCCGAACTGGAGGAATCGGAGACCTCTCCCTCTTCGGGTTCTGATGCCTTTCCGTCATCCTCCTTGCCGCTTTCTTCTTTTTCTGATTCAGAAGAGACAGAATCCCTTTTCACTTTCTTATTGCTGTTTTCTGATGAATCATCGCTGTCGGAACCTGATTCTGAAGATTCAGAAGAGACTGAATCACTTTCTACATTCTTCTTGCTGTTTTTTGATGAACCATCGCTGTCGGAACCTGATTCTGAAGATTCAGAAGAGATAGAATGCCCTGTTCCATTCTTCTTGCTCTTTTTTGATGAATCATCGCTGTCGGAACTTGATTCGGAAGATTCAGAAGAGACAGAATCACTTTTCAGTTTCTTCTTGCTGTTTTTTGATGAATCATCGCTGTCGGAATCTGATTCTGAAGAATATTTTGCCTTTGGAGAATGTTTTCTTTTATTTTTGTTCTTGGCGAGGTTCAAAAACTCCTAAAATGCAACAAGCAGGATGAATTAGAATACTTCACTGATGCCCTACGCTGCCTTAACAGTTCGAATTTATACAAATATGCAATTTATTTAATTTTTAATATAGGTTTTTTTTAACAGGGACGTTATAGATGCAAGATCTGCCGAAAACATCGCCGCTGTGTGTAAGAGTGTGTAGGAGAATCCGAGGCAGTCGATGTCGCGTAGTTCACAAAAACTAGGACTTTCACAGACCACAACTTGACGAATCAAATTCAGCCTGATTTATGCGTTAGTCTTGAAAAATTTGACATTTCGGATGCGCAGAGAAGCCGTGGCGGACATTTAAAACGATGTTATATTCCACACATCATTGCATCAATAGCTCTTCCAAACGAATAAATAATTTCGGTAATATCTCACACACACTTCGTTTTATTTGAATTTGAAGATAGGAAGCCTTAATGAAAAAATATATATTTATTTTCAAATTTTCAACTGAATTTTAAAAAGGTTTTGATCCAAAATTAAGGCGTTGAAGGTTAGGTAGAGTTTTTACTTACCGAATCCAGGTCGCTTTCAGAGTCACTCTTCATTGAAGTCATATTTTTTTGTTCAACCATGATGAACCAAGGTACACCAAGAAAATCACTGCTGGATTTTACTTTTTATCTAACACTTTCGATGCCAAATAGGACACACCGAATCAAAACACTGGGCGAGATAGATAACAGACAACCGATACAACTGAGAACATTCATTTAAGAATGACAGAACTGCCTTTTGTTCCTTGGTTAAATCGTCTTATCCTAATTACCTGAGGCCCACTTTGAGCACCATAGTACCAACTGTTCGTTAGCCAACAGACCGTAGGTTAACGAAAGGTTACTTTACAGACAGTTTAGTAAATTGGCTCACTGCACAGAGTTGCCAATCAGCACAGAAATCATCGTTCCATGACTAGTAGTAGTGTTTGAAAGTAGTAAATATCTGATTAATCTTGTAGTCTTGCCACAATAGAAAACTCATAAAGACTGTACTGTGGTTTCGCACCAGTTGCGTCTAACCTCGAACAGTGGGGGCGCTGACTTTTGGGAAGTTTTTCAAAATCAAGGTCAGGTCGAGAATAATTTACGAATTATTTTCAAATTGGAATGGGCGATTAGAGAAGAATTCATGTGTCTTCTCTGTGTGATGAAATGGATTTTGAGAGATTTCTAAGAGGCATGGAAAAATGAAAATAGCAAGGATTAAACAAAGATCTCGGAAAATATATTTGTATTTAATCGAAAATTCATACTTTACCATAAAAAAGTATAGAAAATTTAAAATGGGAATTTAAGATATTTTTTTTGGAGTTGATGTAATGAACAAACTTAAAAGACCACTCCACAAAGACGTAAAGAAGTTGTTGACTTTCCAAACATTTATTAAAAGCTGAAGGGACGACAATGTGCATGCGCTCATAGCCTAATTAAAGGTTATGTATACTCCGGATTGGCGAAGGAAATATACCAATAGTCCAGGAACTTTGCAAAAAAAATTGTCAATATGTCAATTCGGTAAAAAGTTTAGGTGTGGTATTTGGGAAATGAGTAAACGTATTAGCGATAAATGTATAAACCACAAAAGCATTCTCTATTAGTTTAACGCTACTGAATTTGTATTTACTCACAATGGACAGCCAAGGCAGAAAAGTGATTGTCTGCGATAATGGCACTGGTGTAAGTAGTTCGTTTACTGGAATAAGAAATATTTAAATCTTCAGCCGCTGTTTTTCAGTTCGTCAAATGCGGATACGCCGGCAGTAACTTCCCTGCTTACATATTTCCCTCAATGGTCGGGAGGCCCATTATAAGAGCTGTGAATAAAATAGGGGATATCGAAGTTAAGGTAGGAAATGTTTTGTATGATCGAATTCTTGAATTATAGTCCTCCGTTTCATTGATGTCCCGTTTTGTCTTTCTAGGGTTTACATGTAGATGTAAGTTACACGTCCACGAATGATTTGTTTTTGCTAATCACTAACTTTTGGCAATGCCGATTCTATGTGGTGATTTTGTGTGAATTAATCTTAATTTTTTCATGCTTCAGGGAGTAGCAAGCACTCTTCCTGTAAGTAATAGGAGGAAAACGCTTCAATAAACGCATGATTTTTCATGAAGACGTTGGCTGACGAAAAATCTCCAGTCAAAAGTAGAACCAGTGAAACATGCCACACTAAACAGGGGCAAAGTTGTGGAAGTTTACGATGTCCCTAGAAGCTGAATATACATGTACTTTCTGTGGAGTTACTGTACTTTTATTGCAGATAATCTTAATTTTTCCAACTTTCAGATCACATAACCTCAATGCCCAGCATACATTAACTGAAACTACTCAGCTGCTTGAGGAAATACCTGTACCATACCTATCAGTATGGTACATTCAAAAATAATAATCACTTATAGTTATTTAACAGGGATTATCTTATACTTGTGTCATTATAGTACCTCAACGTGAATTGCAAATGTTGCAGAATGTCGAGAGCTTTTGTGATAATAGTTATGCATTTCCCATTCTGTAACTTCTGTGGGACACTTCACCTTCACATATTGAACCCTACAGTGTTGCATCTTTCACGAACTGTTTTCCAAGTATTCTCAGTGTTCCCGAACAAGTATTTGCGATAAACAATTCCAGTTTTGAAATTTCCTAAATGTTTTCACGTGCAGGACTTGATGGTAGGCGATGAAGCCTCTGCCCTTAGATCGCTGTTGGAAGTCAACTATCCCATGGAGAATGGTGTCGTCCGAAACTGGGAAGATATGTGCCACGTTTGGGATTATACGTTTGGGCCAAAAAAAATGAATTTAGACCCTAAGGAGGCCAAGGTGAGCATATCTTGAACCCAGTGACATTCACTTACTGCACTTACTTCAAGAATTATGAAATGTTTCATGTATTTAACAGTAGATTAATAGATAATAGATTTTAGTTATATTAATACTTCACAAATAAGGAGTATAGTCCTTAGGAGGACCATACTCCTTGTTTGTGAAGTACTTTGAATACTATTAAAATCTAAGGAGTATTTCAAGAGATTGATAATTGGTATTGCAAAATCAGGTACAACTACTTATTACATTATGTAATTTTTGTTTTTCAAGAAAATCTAATACATCATATTGAAACTATCAGAAAGTACATCAAAGTACTTAAGTACAAATCACTTGTGTTGTGCCATTTGAAAAGTACTATCAACCCTTCCACATCCTTTGAATCAGGTATTTTATAGGTCAAGGAAGAATATTATAAAGAAATTGAGAATTATGACGCTAATATTTATAGTACATTGTAAAAAATACTTCAACAGTTTGATAGTATTTCTATTTGAGATGTACTTCAAAGTTATTGAAGTATTTTTTGAAGTGTCAACTAGTACCTCACGTTTTGAGAACCTCTAATTCTTTCTCCAGATTCTTCTAACTGAACCACCCATGAACCCAACTAAGAACCGTGAGAAAATGATTGAGGTTATGTTCGAGAAGTATGGTTTTGCTGGCGCTTATGTTGCAATTCAGGCTGTCTTAACACTTTACGCACAGGTAATTATCTACTACAATCATAATTAACCAGAAAGTTCGCCAGAATGTTGTTTGGGAACAATTCGTTGAAGTTCCTTTTGTTTAGAAAATATTTATAGTTATTGTAACAGAGGATACCTCAAGGAACCGTTTTGGGAGCATTTCTTCAATCGGTCGATGTTAAAGATACACCAAAACTTTCAGTTTCTTTATATCAAAATGTAGTTATTTCTAGGGACTTTTATCGGGTGTGGTGGTAGATTCAGGAGACGGTGTTACCCATATTTGCCCCGTTTACGAAGAGTATGCTTTGCCACATCTCACCAGAAGGTTGGACATAGCTGGCCGGGATATAACCAGGTATCTCATCAAGTTGCTGCTGCTCAGGGGTTATGCCTTCAACCATTCAGCAGATTTTGAAACTGTAAGCATGTGAAAGTGATTAATTTCAAGGCATTTTGACTTTAAAATAGTGTTAAATGACAACACGGTTATCTTCATCGAGTTTTATATATCGTAGGTGAGGATGATGAAAGAAAAGCTGTGTTATATCGGGTATGATATCGAAACTGAGCAGCGTCTGGCACTTGAAACGACCATTCTGGTCGAACCGTACACCTTACCTGACGGGAGGGTCATAAAAGTAGGAGGTGAGCGATTTGAAGCACCCGAAGCTCTTTTCCAACCGCATCTGATCAACGTTGAAGGTCAAGGGATCGCCGAATTGGTGTTCAATACGATTCAGGTATATATTTTTATTCCTTTTGATGTTTTCCAGTGTAAAATACACACATCGGAAAAGTCTAGGGATATTTTTATAACATACTAAATATCATAAAAATAAATGCATGAGGTCGTTTAATTTCGATTAAATTGGTACACTCGACCTAGTATCAAATCTTTTTTGTCTGCAGGCCGCTGACATTGACATGCGTCCGGAACTCTACAAGCACATTGTCCTATCTGGGGGCTCCACCATGTACCCCGGTCTCCCTTCGAGGCTGGAGCGCGAAATCAAACAACTCTACATAGAGAGGGTGCTCAAAAACGACGTGGAGAAGCTCAACAAATTCAAAATCAGGATAGAGGATCCGCCCAGACGTAAAGACATGGTGTTCATCGGGGGCGCAGTCCTAGCGGAAGTCATGAAGGACAGAGACGCTTTCTGGCTGTCGAAGCAGGAGTACGAAGAAGGCGGAGTGAGGGCACTGCAAAAGCTGGGGGCACGGGCGGTTTAGAAGATCGATATTTGTATCGTTTTATTGTATGATTTTATGCAAATTTAGGTAAGATTTCGTTTCTCGGGTTGGCTTTGATTTTTGAAAAGTTTGTCTTTAGACATGAGTACTTTTGTCTGCCGAAGTCAAAACTTGAGAGGGAAATAAGGCTTCAAAGAAATCCAAAAATCAATCATTTCAGAAACTCACTTTTGGTGAAATGAAATGAAAACTCATAAAAAGACACCTTCTTTTCACAATCACATGATGCGGATTCTGATCCATTTAAAATGTTTTTCACAAAATAAAAAATTCCTATTTCAACTAGTTCAGTCAGTAGTTGGAAAAATATTAGATTCTCAATGAATTGGCAACCAGTGATATCCTTTTAGTTCTAGATACACTAATCGAATTAAGCTCAGTACAGGTTAGGATGGTTAGATTATAGGTTAGGTCACTCTTCTTTATCTGAAGTCTGTTGTACCGTGTGTAGTGTGTACATGAAAGGAGGTTGCTGCCTACAGACGTTAGTTATGATTTTGTGTTGTGCACTCTATTAGCAAGTAGCAAAAACGATGACATTTATGCATTCCCAATTAATAAATCACTATAAAATAGTACGCAATGCCGACTATTGTACATCTTTCATTGTGTATTTTCAACACAGCATCACCCTGTGCTAAACAGCGATCATTTGCGCACTAGTAAAAAAAATGGTTCAATGGGAGTAAGAAAGTTGGCCAACTTTTATTCCTCACTTGTTACTACATGATTGTTGAGTTTTCTGCATAAACATGTTCATTGGAAAGTGAGGAGTTCAACTCATAGTTATTGATGATTATCACTTCCTAATTTTTACTTGCTATTTGTTAATCGAGTGTGCATAAATTCATCTTCAGATCTTGCTTCATTAACACTAGTACATATTGTTAAATTTGCAAAAGATGTAACATGATGTCATCTGTCATGTCATGTGCGATGTTTGCATGAAAGGCGTTTGCTGTCTACAGACGCTAGCCATGACTTCCTTTCATACTACAAATATGGTGTAAAAGACACATTTAAAATGGCAAAAGGAAGGAGGCATTCTTTGTCTTTCTGACAGCTACATAAATTTGATGAAATTGAAAAGTGTCTTTCATATTCATAAAATTATGTTTATTATAAAAAAAGTGGAATGACAAATAAATGAGGTCAGCATCTTGATTTCTTGAGAAGAAGATTCCATTTTACTAGTATTTGATTACTGGGTTTAGCGCCAAGTTTTGACTTCACATCCGTGATTTACTGACAAAAATATGCAAATCTTTTTTTTTTTTAATCAGCCCGAGCCAAAAAAGGAAATTTTATCCATTGGTACTTCGACAAATTGAAACGGGAATGTTTTTGTGGAAGTGGATCTACGAAAACTTGGGGGTTCCATGTTCCTTTTGTATTTTATGAAAAGTGCAAAGACTAATATTTACTACTTATTTACAAACGTTCAGCAGTTATTGAGCATTTTATTATCATAATTATTGTAAGGTTAGCGTTATGTGATTTAACCTAATTTTTGTAATATATGGAAAACGATGTTGTCGCCCATAACATTCGAAAATATTATGATTGAGCATTCCGACTGTTCTGTTCTGTCTCCATTAATAAATCGTTAAAAGATCATAAGTCTTTCATTTGTTGAACAAATATGGTTTTCTGGAAAGCTTCGAAAGAAAACACTTTATAATGAGATACCTTTACTACGGACCAAAACTTGATGAACGTGTTGAAAAATGTATAATAAATTGGGTGTTTAATAGAGCAAAGACGATTTGCAATTCAGCTGAAAATTTTAATAAAGAAGTGTCATTGAAAAACAATCTGTTTTGAAACATTCTCAACGATAAGATATGAATAATGTCAAAATTTGCAACAGACTGATATCAGAGAAAACCTTGTACCATTAGGTTCGTTCCAACCAGCGTCAGAAACCGTTTCTGACAGTCAGGATTCTGCGCAGTAATGTGATTGCGTTCCAACGTGAGTTTCCAACCATTAGTAAACTATCAGTTTTCTGTTCCATCCAAGATTCAAACCTGTTCGAAATCTATCAGAATGGTTTGAGGATTATCTTCTAACCATCAATCTGACGCATGCGTATTCCGTATTACTGTTTCTGTTTTATGTTCATGCAACTTACAAACAACATAACCTGCAAAAATTGTTATAAAATAAATTAT